AATATGGTATCAATATTATCAATCAGATCCTATGTCAGTCCGCCGCGGACGACGACGCAAAGCGGAGGTCGCTTGCCATCGCCGGAGGCGACGCGCCGGACATCTCGCTGAGTGTCACCACCGCGGACGCCGCGTGGCGGAGGTCGCTTGCCGTCGCCGGGGGCGACGCGCCGGACATCTCGCTGTGAGCGTCGCTGCCGCAGACGCCGCGCGGCGGAGGTCGCTTGCTGTTGTCGGGAACGACGCGCCGGACATCTCGCTGTGAGCGTCGCCGCGTGAATCGTGTAGAAGTCTACACCAGACAACTTCTAGACGCCATTTGTTACCAGTGTTAACATTTCATGATTTTTACATTAAAAACCTATAGTTAATGGCCAGTTTCATTATATTTTATGCGTTTTTTAAATCGGGAGCTCGTCGGGCAAGTGAGTGTGCAATCTTTACTTGCCCGCAGAGATTTCTACGCGTCTCGGGCATCGGACGCGCGGCTAAATTCGACGACTGATGTATGTATGTGTATCGTATATATATATATTTATATATAGAACCGGTTTTGTTTGGGGTTTGCGAGATGCTTCGACGAATTGGACACATTTTTGACTTTGGAAGGTACAGGTCTGAGAAAACGTTTCAATGGCATAATAGCTCTCTGCGCTACCATGTGCATATATATGCGTACTGCGCACTCCTGTTTTTACTGTGATTTTTTACTCGGCGAATTTCTCGTGTTTCTCCTTGTGAGTTTCACCCTACTAAATCACCATTGGTTAGTGTGTGAAGTAGGCCGTTCTGCTGAGATGTGTAATATACTAGCGTGCTGCAGTTAAAAAGTCTTAGTTATAATGTGGCTACACTGGCTTCCAACTTATAGGATGCAACGTCGTTTTTGGATATGTATTTTTTACGAAAAAAAGTGCATCCTGTAAGCAGCGAAATGCAATATATATACCAGAAGGAGCAAATAATAACAAAACCTCTCTGTTATAATTCGCTCATGTTACTATAGAATGTACGTGGTACCTATGTGGACGATGGGTATCGGCTCAAGAGAGTTGCCGACTATCAACTCGGGAAGAAGAGTAGGTGACAAACTATGTGATACTCAGTGTTTTGAATTTGAAACGGTCTGCCCCTAGAATGCTATTTCCGGTTTTATATGGAGGGGGTTTTGTTGTCAAAGTGCGATCCCGGTGAAAGGTGGCATAGAATGCGTGTTATGTTTTAAGCGATATGGGTACAATCACGTTTACTGATCCCTACGTGTAGTTGGGCAATTATTCCATGCTTTTTCTATTTCCCGTGAAAATTTTTATTTGTCTTCATCTTGGATGTTGTTTTTTGCCCATGTTACAGAATTTTATATAGCGTAGTCCATTTGAGTGCCATAAAAACATATTTGTAATATGAATAATGTGCAAATATATAAAAGTATGTTGATTGAAACATTTTTTACTTGGTTACTAAAGGTAGCAATACAGGCCAGTGCAAAACAATCTAGTTATAACTTGCATTATATGGTTATAAAGCACCCAATTTCTATCCAATGGGTTGCTCTTCTCTCCCATGTTAATGTGGGTGGGTCAATGTGCTAGCCCAGTAGCTCTAGGCCGTCCAGGCCTCCTCTTTAAACATGATATAACTACTGATGTATAAGCTAATATATATATAATTGAGTTACAAAATTTGTTAGGTTAATTATATGGTTAGGTATAATTCATTACGTTTGGTACATTTTTGTAGCAAACTTGAGGTGCATCATAGATCAAGTATAATTTAACTAAGATTAAAAATAATACCAAAAGCTATAATGTTATACTTGTGAATTTATTAGATTGGTGTCATTATGATGTTGATGTGATAACTTTTGATATGCTTTAATGATTTTTGATGTACAGACTACAGACAGTATTAAATACGTTGAATGGCCTAGCATTTCGCTTGCATGCATAGTCTCATTGGTATAATCTGTAATCTGTATGTAAATTTATATTATATCACAAATTAAATGATTCCAAAGAATTGTTTATAACCAGAAGCTTTTGTTTTGTGCTCTGATTTATATAGTTATACTATTATATTGCAATTTTGTCCTATCTCATGAGTGAAGTTAGTAAATCACTAAATGTCAAATTAAATGCATTTCCAGTCTTAACAATGGGTACGTGTGATATGGATAATGCTAGTAGTAGTAGGCCCTATATATGCGGCATCGGGCATGAGATAACTAATACCATGATTTATTATAACTATTAATTATGTATAGTACTTCCACTAGTGCTAATAGTAATATTAATAACCTTAGTTAATATTAATAAGTAGTTACTAGTAATACACGAGTAGGAAATAATTCAAATATACATGTAGTACAGGCTACTGATGTAGGCCTAGGTACATCAACTTCAAGTTCAAGTCATCATGATCATGTACCGTACATGGCTGGCTAGCAGCATTGCGATACCTTGCAGTGTGCATGCACAGCTAGTTTTTACTCGTCGCACTTGACATATCATATAATACATTTTGAATACACATAGATTCACGGCATTATATTATTAGTTTATCCGCCAATATTATTCGACATACCGCCCCGGTATGCCATCTTCAAGTTTCTCTTCTTGAAGTTCTTCGTTTGGAAGTCTCCCCCTTCCTCTTTAGACTTTAGTTAGGCCTAGTTGAAAAGTTGGGGCTTTTTCTACTGCAGTGTTGATCTGTCCATTAGATCCACTGTGTCTCTTTCCGTATACAATATAGTTTCTTTGACTTTGAAGACTAATAAAGTAATATTTACGTGGTTAGATTTCTTTTTCCTTCCCGTCTGCTAGTTTTTAGGTAGACAACAACATGCAGTTCAATTGTTTTAATTTGTGTGACGCACGGCGTGGCGTACGGTTTCCACGTGACAGTGACGTCATATTGTAAATAAACAAATACACGTGTTGCGTTGTGATGGAAATACGCCTATTTTGGAAACATAGAGATAATACGTAAATTGATGCTTATACTTGATCTATTTTATATGAACACGATGTGTTTTTGTTTTAAATAGACGTATATTAACCGAATTATTTATTTTCAGCGAAACTCTTATGTGTGCAAGTTATATAGGTTCAATATTATAATGTATAGGTATCAAATCCGTATATCATAAAATCGTATTACTATAATATTATTACTATTAGTATTAGTACGTATATAAAATCACTGTGCAACGTCAGAGTATCGCTACGCAAGTATAGCCTTTTCACATTATAATAGTTTGGCTGTAATTTATAGGAGAATCTATTTCACTATCGCTGTTTTAGACTGACGCGCGGGTAAATTAAGCCACCGAGATGAGATAGGGTACGTGAGAAACAGTGAGTGCATGCACGCACGTATGCCTCGATGGAAGGCGTGTCCATTTGCAGTCCCCTCTGTCAGCATCCGAGTTGCTGGCTGGCTCTGCGCAGGAGCTTGGTAAAGGGAACGGGGCAGGCGCAAGGCGAGGCGAACAGATGTAGTCACCCAGTCACACGCGACTCTAACGCTGATAAGACCACTGGCGATGGTAGGGGCTATTATATACTAGTATAATATAATTATATATATATAATTATATAATTATATAAATAATTATGAATGTAGAAAAATCGAATAATTTAGGTGTCAATTTTTTCTAGGCCCTATTCATAAATCGCTCTCTCTCTCTCTCTCTCTCTCTCTCTCTC